AAAAAAAAATAAAAAATAGTGAAACCAAAAATGTTGAAAGATGCTCATTCACCCTTCATAATTTTTGGATAAGCTTTACAAACACATCTGAAGATTTTGAAGATCCATCAAGAACATGTAAAATAACAAATAAGATAAGCAAAAAAAGTCGTCCTTGTCTGCCGCGAAAGGCTACAGATTTGCCGGAAATCGGGCGTCCGAGAGAGAGAGGTCGTGTGCTTCGACGGCGATACAGGACTTGTCGCCGCCGTCGCTTCCCGACCTTCGCCGTCAGCATAGAGAGAGAGAGAGAGAGAGAGAGAGAGAGAGAGATCGTGTGTGTCTATTTGTGCGTGTGCGTGAGAGAGAGAGAGAGAGAGAGAGAGAGGGAGAGAGAGAGTTTACCGCTTTCGCCGGGAGAATGAATTGGGTGGAAATGATGCCTTGCAATGTTCTGAAGTTACTGTGCCCTGAATGAGTTTGGATCATAGGGCGGCTTAATGGGCCAACATTATCATTAGGAGGTTGGGCCGCGTTACAACTGTGACAAGGGTCAATATATGGGGCATGTGACAGTATGCATTTGATGTCTTATTTTTATTTTTGTGAGATATATTTTTACTTACATGTTTTTTGGATTTGGCAGCTTTTTATTTGTTTATTCTATTATGTAACGTCCTTTTCCGATGGAAGTTATAATTGCATCTCAATTCAAGTCTCTTCAAGTTGTTTGTGAAGTTTTTCAATAGTTTCAAGTTGTAATTGTATCTCAATTCAAGTCTTTTCAAGTTGTTAATGGTGTTTTTCGATAATTTGAACCCAATTGTCATTTTGAAGTTTTTTAGTCCTACTTTCAAATTTAGTGGTGGTGAGTATTATTTTAAATGTTTAAAATAAGTAACGATTTTGTGGAGAGAAAATGAATAACTTTAAATGGTGGTGTTCTCTTCCTTGTTTCTTATTTTTCGTATCTAGTGATGGCATGCTAAATGTTTGAATAGCACAATATAATTATACTTATAACAAATGTTTCTTATTTTTCGTATCTAGTGATGGCATGCTAAATGTTTGAATAGCACAATATAATTATACTTATAACAAATGTTTATAAACAAGTTCATTGATAGTTCCATATCAGAGCCGGATGCAAAGAAGGTTGAGGAAAAAAAAAATTATATATAGCAGTCCATATTGACTATTCTTATGCAATAATAATCCCAAACTATGAGCCCATTAAAAAAGTCTTAATTATGAGTCCATAAAAAAAGAAAAAAAA